GGTTCAGCAAGTACGACCATATCATCAGGTAGAACCTATAAATGCAATAAATAATCAGGATTACGTGCTGTGGATTAAGCCGGTAAAGAGGCAATATAAGAATATATGCACCTCAGGGACTCCTCCAACACGGGTGCTGACCGTTAATAATCCACAACTAGCAGCCTCTAATATAGCTATGCAGAACGCTTCTGTTAAAGAACTGTCAGAGGATCAAAAACTGCAGTAACCATGAAACATTCAGCAGAAAAGGCATAATCAATCGGATAACAAGAAAGAACATAAGCTAGATTATGCATCAGATCATTTTAGCTGTATGATTTATGGATATGCTAATGTATGAGTGGTGTGGTGTACAAACTACTACAAACTAATATCAATTTTGTACTTTCTTTAGGGGTATATGAAATGCGTGATCATCAAAGCAATCTGCTAACCTGTTTAAGAATATATGCCCAGATACCAAAACAGAGCGCACACGAGAATGCGGTACAGCACCCAGCATCTCAACTCTGTCTTGGAGAGAATGCTTTTCTCTCATTTCCTCTAGCCGCACATGTTTTGGTCCATCCCCTCCAACAATAAACCGAACCTTAAAAAACAAATGAAGTTAATGCGAATACCGAAGAGGAAATGGATAAAGATGGGCAATAATGAGCCATTAATTGCTGATGATGAACAGTATAATGAGGCAACTTACATTGGGATATAAATGGCATACTTCTGGAATGACTTCAACTAGCAGATCTGCACCTTTACGATAAACTAATCTACTTATGACGATTATAGTGATCACATCAGTACTAGGCCGGATGGAAGCAGGCTTGAACATTGCAGTATCAACAGCATTGGGTATCATGAAAACCTTTTCAGGAGGCAAACCTGATCGTAGGACAGTGTTCTCCTTGCTCGTGTGCGAAACACATATAGCTTGATCTATATCCGCTAAACTAAACTGCAAAACCTTGTTCATGTGGATACTTCCGACATCAGCAAAACCGTACAAGGAATGATCCGTGAAAACAACTTTATACCCCATTGTCCGTGCATGCATTAAGGCTTCATGACAGAGAGTAGAGAAAGCTTGATGCCCGTGAACTACGGTTATCTTCTCGCGTATAAGGATAGTCCTCACAATGGGAAGTGTTCCATAAATCGTCGGGAACGTGTTCTGCAGAAAAAAGGGTCTCCAGGGCACATAATACACTTTGAGTCCTCCAGTCATGTACCGGACTCCTGAGCGATTTCCATAGGCATGGGTCAAAACCACCACCTGCAATATAGTCAGTGAATTATCTAACCGATCTATGGAAAAAGATAGAGTTCATGATGGATCGTTCAAGCAAATAAAGAAGAGAACACTTCAATTTTGGTCCGACCTACAATGTTTGTGCATTTGTATCGTGAAACATCCGACATTTGCTTTCATTCACAGGACGTTGAACTCAGAGCTTCAGTTCCGGAGACAACTCAAAAAACACTGAGGCTAACAAACTGGGGAATAGTAATGATCTGAAGACATCCTATGCGATGTTCATACGGTCACATGATGTCATTGTACCAAGCTACGTTATTTGCTTATAACCATTGGCAATTATGGAATCAAACCGCAGAAAATTCAAACTGAGATTTAGTTCCCAACCCCCATTCGATCAGACATTCTGATTTAAAAAACGGGTTTGAGAGTTGATGATTCTGGACTTAAAATCCAAAAAAAAAAGGAATGATGATTCTGAACTTAAAAGTCTCACACTGACCTTATGACCGAGCTTTAACAAACACTGAGACAGATAATAGATGTGATTCTCAACACCGCCGAAGTTGGGGAAGAAGAAATCGGATACCATTAGAACCCTATGCTTCTCTTCCGCCATGGACACTCACCCGCCGAGAAATCGGAGAGCTTGAAAACGAGATTCGAACAACTTGAAAACTCGCAGTGATTAAACAGATCCGACAAGTTCTCCCACAATTCAAGATCGAGACGGGGAAAACCCGCTCCGGATCGGACTTCGTGACTCCACTCAGAACGCCGACTTCGTCGCCGTGGTCGCATCAATCCGCGTCAGGTTAGGGATTCGAATCACAATTTTCAAATTTTTATTTTCTGGAAAAAACAATTGGTTCTCCGGTTGATTTGAACCGGAGCTAACCGACTCCAATCAGAAACCGAAACTAACCGAACATTTCGGTCCGGTTTGCTACCCTCCAGGCATCCAGGCCATATCGGGCCAGTTTCTTGTCAGGCGTCAACCCACTGGGCCTATAACAATGGAAAAGAGGAAACATAAATATAAAAATATATTTTAGCTTTGGAAAAATAAATAAATAAATAAATATAATGTGTCTGTATGTATATATAGTATGAATTTACACTAAGGTGTTTAAAGCGACCTTTGGGGATGATTAAGGCCATAATTCCTTTTTTTTTTGTGTGGAGATTATCTCCTTCGTGTAACCTTCTAATCATAATAATCCATTTGTACCTCTTTAGAATTCTCCATAAACTAATATAGATAAAGAATTTTAGTGGTACCATCGTTATCCTAAAATATTATTCTAAATATTTTTTATTTTCAATCTTTAAAAAAACGGAATCTAGAATATTCACAAAAAAATCCGTACCGCTGAAATACGGATCCAATTTATGGAAATCTATATATATTAATAAAGGAGTTTAAAGGATTGTGGTGAGGACACCTCATCTCCACCTCATCATCCATGTGGCAATGTTTTTATTTTTTATTGGTTGATAATTTATCATAAATTTTAACATAATTTATGTGATATATATAATACAAAATAAATAAATATATAAGGGATAAATTTCATCTTTATCGTAAAAAAACTATTTGTTTTTAGTTTTAAATAATATTATAAGAAAATTATGTTTTAAATAAAAAACAGTATATATTATATTATAGTTATATATATTTATAAACTTAACTTGAATATAAAAATAATAAAAATTGTAAAGTCATTTCAATCTACCGAGTAAATGAAAATCAATGTAATTTCATATTAGATTAATCTATTTGATATTTAGTTTAGTAAAAACAATATGCTATTATAATTTTTAAAATTTATTTTAACATAATTTATGTGATATATATAATACAAAATGAATAAATATGTAACTGATAAATTTCATCTGTATAGTAAAAAATATTTGTTTTTAGTTTTAAATAATATGATAAAAGATCATATCAAAATTAAAAAAGATTATATTACAGCTATTTATATTTGTAAATTTAACTTGAATATAAAATAATAAAATAGTAAAGTTATTTCAATTTATTGAATCAATGAAAATCAATGTAATTTCATATTAAATTTATCTATTTGATATTTAGTTCAATAAAAAACAATATGTTATTATAGTTTTTAAAAATATAACAAATTATCTTTATTTATATGTTATTTTTCGTAATTAAAATTATAGTATTTTAACATCTAATTACAATTAGTAGAATAAAAAGTTTTAAAAAAATTAAATGGCCAATGAAAACAAAAAATGTATCACTATGCATATCTTGGTGGACAAGGATATAAATTTGACAATTAAAAACATAATCTTGCGGCAGGATTTTAAAAAAACGTCCAAAAATAAATATTATACCCCACTTCATTCCAATTTTAATGTTATTCAAAGTATGGTACAAAACTGTTGATTATTAAAAAAAACGGTTATGTTTGAATAAATGAAAAAAATCAATTCACTTTTAAATATCTCATAAAGAATTTTAAAACAAAACGTTTCGTAATAAATTTTAAAACAAAACATTCCGTAACGAATTTTAAAACGAAAACGTTCCAATAGTATTTATTTATTGCTCCACTAATAATCTTATTATTTAGTGAGTAAAAAAAAAATTGCAAACGCATGTTATCGCTCTCAAATGGTTTTCGCTCCTCAAACTCAAGATGAAGGGCAAAGCTAAAGAAGCACTTAGAAATGCCTCGGATCCTGAAGCTCATTAACCTAACATTACTCCTACATATTGTTATGATATATTCATAAGTACAACAACAAACCATTAGGAATACGAAGGCTCTCACAAGCTGCATAGCGAAGAGGTGGGTTTCATCATCATCGGAAACTCTCGCCAGAACTATCTCCGTAGAACTCACTGATGAAGAGGTGGGCACTCACACATTGCGACTTATTTCGATATTTGGTGATGGATTGGGTAAATTTTGAATTTTGTTGTATTGTATGTCAAATTAAAAATTCGTCTAGATTTATTTATTTTGTGTATGTATATGTATATAGCTGCTGCGTATACATACATACATGCATATTTATGCATATTAATATATGTGAATAAAAAAATTCAACCCGGTTATTCATACATGGATCTCTATATATATCAACTTTGGCTATTTCCATTCTGACATTCTTTTTTTTTAAAAAAAAAAACTTCAGGGCTATTTTGAGAATGATACAGCTGCTGCGGTGAAAGAAATTTTGTCCGAATCCCTGGAAGGTGACTTAGCATCTATGTGTTCGTGGGGCGATGAAATTAAACACCTATCATTGGCGATGGACGAGCCCTCTGTTCTACGTTGACACTCATGATTTCAGATGCAACTATAAGTATTGTCGTGAGTTTATTTTGTCTTTTTAATTCATCCTCTTTATGTTTATTATAACTATATTTTTGGAATAAGTTTTTTACTTTAGTCTAAACTGTATATTCTGTCTTTCTTAAAGGGGATTTTCATGACACCCGTGGACACAAAGACCGGTGTGTGACCGGAGCAATTTTCAAGTACACAATGCAGTCGGGTATCAAAGAATAAAAGTTAAAGTCAAATGTGAGCTTTTTTTAAATGACATGATCCTTAAAGTATCGGTATGCAAACTTTTATGTGAACTCAAGTGGCAAATAGAGTGGTAAGTCTTTTTCTTTTTATGTTCTTATCTCATTTCATAGGAGATGTTCATCAGGTAGCATTTAATAATTCATACTTGCTCATATTGTAGAAGGTTTCAATTATTCTTTTGTATGTTGATGTTGTTGCGAATTAATACTGTCCTCATATTCATTTAACCTTTGGTTGTGACAGCCCTTACACGGACCACAATGATACTAAAAACATTATAATATTATTTTTATATGTATAGTAAGTTAATTAAATAAAAAAAATGGAAAAGTAGATCAAAAGATGAATATTATTTTCATTATATACGAATATTTTTTTCCATTAAGTGTATTAATATTTTATATTTATTTATATATATATATACACTAAATTATTTTATTTCGATAGTATAATATTTTAGCATAGTAAAAAACTGACCTTTTAAAACAACAATTCTTCTAACATAAAAAAATCATTGTAAATCTAATGTTTTTAAGGTTTTTTAATATATATCATTATTAAGAATTCTAAATAAATTTGAATATATAAATTTAATATAAATATAGTAATGATAAAATCTGGCAAAGCAAAGGCCGCCATCGCCGTCACGTCATCACGGCTCCACCGCATCCGGTGGTGGGAAAAATCTATCTCTGGCGAACTCCGATGGCAAGCAAGAGAAGCCCGTGAAGATCCGACAGCTCGACTATAGCGACCTTGAAGCCGCCACTAACGGCTTCTCCGCCCCGAAGCTCCTCGGCAAAGGAAGCCATGGAAACATCTACAAAGCTATCGTGAGAGGATGCAGAGTCGCCGTGAAGAAACCTCCGAAAGGTGAAGAATTGAGCGAAGAAGAGATCGAGATTCTGTCCAAAATTCACAGCCCTATGTTGGTTAATCTTCTAGGGTTTACCGATGAATCGCATGATCGTCTGCTGGTGATTAGTTAATGAGCAATGATACTCTCTACCACTGTATGTATGTATTTTTTAATCATTCATATTTTATATTTGATTTTAATTTTTCGTGTATGTATAGATATATGTGTGTATATATATATATTATTAAACTTTCACTAACTTTTGCTCATAAAAATTAGGCTTTAAAAATACAGATGACACGTTTAATAAAAAATATGAAAACATATATGTGTATGTATATATGTATGTGTGTGTATTTTTTTTATCATTTATATTTTATATTCGATTGTTAATTTGTGTGTATGTATGGATATATGTGTATGTATATGTATGTATATACGTATGCATATGTGTATGTATTTTTTTATCATTTATATTTTATATTTGATTTTTAATTTGTGTATGTATGTATCTATATATTATTAAACTATCACTATTTTTTTCTCATGAAAAAAATATGTTTTAAAAAGACACGTTTAATAAAAAAATATGTAAACATATGTATATAAGTGTTTATATTTATGTATGTACGTATGTATGTATATATATTTGTATTTTTTCTATTTTATATTTGTATTATAAGAAAAGAAACATCTTCAGTCGTTGATATCATAAACTCGGGTTTTGATGAGTTCTAAACACTTTTTTTGTCACTAAAAAATTGACATTCATGTTCATGTAACCCAAATCAAAGAATACATAGATATATAAAGATGAATGTCAATTTCATTAAGTATACATAATATAGAAAAGATATATACAGAGTATAAAGATGAAAAAATGTTACAAAGGGGCAAATGTTTTAAGTTTGGTACAAATTTATGCCTTAAATAGGTGAGCTCGAAAATGGTTGCGGACTCAAGAAGGGGTAAATGTGTACTCAAAAAACTTAATTGAGAACTCGAGATAAGGCAGTTTTGCATTCGAGAAAAGTGGTTGTTATGAAGATAGAAAATTTGTAATCGAAAGTTAAAGATTGTAGCGTTATGAGTTTTTGAGTTAAGGGTGAGTGTTGCATTATACCTCAAAACTCAAAAGAGAAGTTGAAGTCAATTCTTAATGTTGCAGGTTTTTAATTTTAAATTTGTAACTGTTAAGTGTTGGTTTCTAAGTTTGTTCTATAAAAACAAGTGCAAGGTTTGTCGAAAATTATTCCAAACTTAACTTCTACAATCTTATTCGGTTTCGGATGAAATCAAGTAGTTTGTATGAGTGTTAATGTATAATAAAATGTTTTCATTATTGAGAATGAGAGAGAAATTTGTGGAAGCAACAAATATGAGGTGTTAGCAGATTCCAAATTTTCTCTAATTCGATTGTTCATTCATTCATATAAATATAGGGTTTCAGAAGATTGTCTGCTATAGTTTTGAGTTAATAGAAACATTTTACTTCTTAAGAGTGATTCTTATGGTAGCGATTACAATTCTACAATTCTCAAATTTGAAAAGTTATTCGATTTGGTGTTGTGTTGCATAAAAAATCGGGTTTCACTGACCGAGTTATGGATAAGATCTTTTTATGGCCAGGTCACTGGTCGGGCTTCACTGGTATGAGATTCTTAATAAAAGTATTTTTCTGTGTTTGCAGATAGTTGAAGTTATGTGGTTTTTGACTCCTAATTACTAAAAACATGAGGCATTGATATGTATTGGTTTGACTCTTGGAATTCGGTTCGATGTAAATTAGGAGTGTGATGGAATGAAACTATGTTGATTATATACATGTTTGGTTATTTTGGAATTTTATTTTTCAAAAATTGGGTAGATAATTGTCATAACGTAAAAATTAGATGAGTTTGGTTTTAGATAATTTTTAAAAGTTATCATATAAAACTAAATGATAAAATTTTGAAATATAGTTAAGGTAAATAATTGGACGGAAGTAATTTGGATAAACTGATTTATTGTTTTTAATAAAATTTATTATACATCTATAATATCATATATATATTTATATTAATAGCATTTAAAACAAAATAATTTCTTTTCTACTTTTTCTCAAAATTTACATAAACAAGTATGAGGTTCTTAATAAAAGTCGTTTTCTGTGTTTGCAGATAGTTGAAGCTCTGGTTTTTAACTCCTAATTACTAAAAACATGAGGCGTTGATATGTATTGGTTTGACTCTTGGGATTCAGTTCAATGTAAATTAAGAGTGTGATGGAATGAAACTATGTTGATTATATATATGTTTGGTTATTTTGGAATTTTATTTTTCAAATTGGGTAGATAATTGTTATAAAGTAAAAATTAGATGAGTGTGGTTTTAGATAATTTTGAAAAGTTATCATATAAACTAAATGATAAAATTTTGAAATATAGTTAAGGTAAATAATTAGACGAAAGTAATTTGGATAAACTTAATTATTGTTTTTAATAAAATTTATTATACATCTATAATATCATATATATATTATTTATATTAATAGCATTTAAAACAAAATAATTTCTTCTCTATTTTTTCTCAAAATTTACATAAAACAAAACCTTCATGATGTTTTTACAAGTTTTAGATGAGTTATTTATATTTTTAATATGCAAATTATTTAAGTTGTCGAGAACATTATAATAATAAAGTTTTATAATAAAAAGTTTATAAAACCTTATTGCATTATAAGTCAATCAAACTTTATTTTAATTTTTAAATAAAATATAATTTAAAACATAATCAAAATCTTTATAATATTGTTGAAAATAAATTGTTTATTTCAAAAAGTAAATATAATGACATACTTTTTTTTTTTAATTATTATTATTATTATTATATAAATGAGAAAAATATACAAAAAACGAACTCGGAACTATATACAGATTTATGTATTTATCTATATACAAATATATTTTATATTTTTATATTTGTAAAGACCGATCTTAATTCTTCTTTAGAAGGATTGAAAATTCTAAATCATACGAAAACTTAATGACAAAAAAGTCACCACCAATATGATCTACATATAAATCATTAATTCTTCAATGGACTATCAAAATATGAGATCACATAAAAATAATTCATATTCAACCTTTTCATACAAAATATATTGAAAATAATTTAGGGATAATCGCCAAAAAAACCTTGTACTTTTTCTAGGTCAACAAAAAACTATGTACTTTTTATCACCAATTAAACCCTATACTTGGTATGATTAATCCATAAAACCCTGTACTTTTTAAAAATTCACCGAAAATCTCTTGCGACTGCCAATTCAAACAAAAATGATGATGTGACAATGACATGGAATGAACATATCATCATAATTATATCACATCATCATATTATTTTCTCATGGGGGTTCATTTATTATAAATTAATCACATCAAGTACAGGGTTTAATTGGTAATAAAAAAAGTACAGGGTTTTTTTTGGCGATTACCCCAATAATTTATATAAAAACATACAACATATTAAAATTTTAAAATATTATGCAAAATACAAGATTTACGATAAAAGAACATTAAACTGAAGTGTGCCAAAAAAATTAATATATGCAATAAACTGTTTATAATAGAGTTAAAATATATTTATTATTTTAATCATTTTTTAATAAAATTATCACATCTTACTTTAATTACAAATAAAATCAAAATATCGTTGTTCGATTTTGATGATACATTTATATAATCTTTATTTGTAATGTCCAGAATATTCTCCATCATATAAATTCAAACATATAATTTTGATTTAAAAAATAACAACAATATTTTTAAACTTTTTTACATGAGATGATCTAGCAACATGAATCGGTTTACAATGAATAAAATAATTGTTAGAAAAACTATTAAAGTTTTTATATCTATATGAAAGTTTTTCGAAAATTGGTGATTTTTAGGTTAATTTATCTTTTAAATATGAAATACGTATGATATAAAATAACAATATTATTATATTAAGTTAACTAATATTTTTATTATTTTTTCCTTTATTAAGTTAACTAATGATTTTTTTGATTTAGGTTTGTATCACTCACACATCATATCATTTATGAAAAAATAAAAAAAGTCAACCTAATAAAAAAAATGATC